ATATCTTAAGCAAGAATAAGTACAACCCATCAAAACATGCACTTAAACTATCAACATAGCTTTGCTGTCTTCATGGTAGCTTGTGTACATCAGCACCAAAGAAGCCTGGAGAGTGAGTGGAGATCAAATCACGAAAGGTGTTTTCCATGGCTTGTTGGGAATCGAATATTTCTCCTTGCAAGAAGTGATCCATGCCTGGAAGAAGTGGGAGTCAGTTGGTGCAAGTTCTGGTGAACATAGGGCTGACAAAGCGTTTCCAAGTCCAGCTTGCACGAGCAGCATTCGTACAACAAGTGGTCAAGTGTTGTCCTGCATGAGGATTGGCCTGTCTCTACCGACCACTCAGCTGCTTAATTGCAAGCATGGTCACTTCCTCCAGTTGGGTGCAGTAGACATCCACTGTAATGTACTGACCAGGTTTCATGAAGCTGTGGTGGCTAGTACCAGCGCTGGACCACCAGACAGACCCCAGTAGCTTATTTGGATGAATATTTGGTTTTGGACTGTGTTTCAGCACTTCATCTTGGTCCACCATTGTGCCGAACACTTGTGATTGTCAGAAAGAATCCATTTCTCAACATGTATAACGATACGGCATAGAAATGATTTGCCTTTATGTGTGACAGCAAAGAAAGGTAAGCTTTGAGATGGTTTCTCTCCTGACACTTATTTAATTCTTCGCAGAACCCATCTATTCAGCTTCCTGGCCTTGCCAATTTGTTTTAAATGATTCAATATTGTTGGAACAGTAACATCAAACCTTGCTGCTAATTCACACATAGAATAAGATGGATTTGCTTCCACTACAGCTTTGAGTTCATCATTATCCACCTTGGTCTCAGGTCATCCATGCGACTCATTTTCAAGATTCAAATCCCCATAACGGAACTTCTCCAACCATCCATGCTGTGCGTTCATTAGCCACATGCTTCCCAAACACTCCGTTGATATTTCAAGCTGTCTGTGTTGCACTGGTTCCATAATAGAACTCATTCAAAAATAATACAATTTTTTGACTTATCCACGGTTTCACAAAAATCGCTCTAAAAATTTTTTTGGAAGATAATCACAAACCAAAATATGCATTTGAAAGAATGAGGATGTACCTTCACAATCAAAATAAAACAAGCAGGCTCAAAGTAAAATGTCCCAGATATCAACTTAGTTAAGGAAATAAGACATTTCATACTTAATGACCTAAGTATTAACCTAATATTAATAGATGTGTCAAGTGGTTTTCTGAAGAGATTGTACTAACTTAGACTCCTGGGTCCCCCCACCTATGCACTAACTTAGACTCCTGGTCCCCCCACCTATGCACTAACTTAGACTCCTGGTCCCCCCTACCTATGCACTAACTTAGACTCCTGGTCCCCCCCACCTATGCAACCTGGGTATTATCAGTCTGAGAACCTGAAGCAGAATCAGATGTCATGCATTTACAGGCACACGTATTTTTGCCAATTTGATAGGTAGAAATTCTGGCTAATAATCTGGTTGCATATCTGTTCACGTTTGTTGGCCTTTCTTCTTTTCTTTTCTTATCACAACGTGCCAATTCATACCCTTTATTCAGTTGGGCTGTTTGCTCTTTTTCCATGAACATATAGGAGTTCTTTACTTATTCTCTACAATAATAATCTTTTAAATATCCTTTGCCAATATCTGTCTTCCCATCTGCCATTACCTTTTAATTTTGCTTTTTTATATATAAATATTTAACTTACTAGCAAATACAATGTAAAAGTCTTATACTACGTGGCTTCTGGGTTAGTGCCTTATACACTCACTCCAAAGTTGTATAAATAAGGCCTTGATTTTCCTCTAATACCTTTAAATCTTATTCCTTATGTTTGACGTAGTAACTTACCATGTAAATTGGTGTATCTGGTGTGAGTTTGATTAGAAGGACCAAGTAGGGCGGCAGTTCTAACTTCATTTTTTCCAAACATTTGTGTTTAGTAGAATGTCCCAACGCCACTTACGATTCTATTCCAGCAGTTCTCAAACATTATTTGGCACTTCACACAAAATATTTTCATCACCAGCCTGGTTCCTAGAATGTGGGGAGAAGATTGACAGAGAGCAGTTCTTCACTATGGGTGGCTCTGAGGCCATAGGCTAAAGACAAGGTCCAAGGTCACAGGCAATCTCAGCCTTGCCACCATGAACATGAAAGTACATAAAGCCCATAAAGGTCCATGAAGTATCATGTGACACCTCCGTAGCTTGAGGCTTTGAGAAAGGTCCTAGTCCAGAGGCCAGGCTCCGGTTCTGTTCTGACATGTACTGCTGCCTGAGCTCTCATAAGTGGCTTGGTTTTGTAACTGTAAAATGAAGGGATTAGAATAAATCAGGGCATATCCATGGAAGGACTTTGGGGGAGTTTTAAAAACTCCTGAAATTATTTTTAAAAATTGTGTACATGTGCATTTTTTTCTGAGTAAAAGGTGGGAACTCAAAAAGGTTCAAGACCCTTGAGACACGGTTCTATGATCTCTCATCTTTTGTGATTCTCTGAATACTGAAATGTCCTACCCATTCTACTGGGCAGTATTTCCATGTCCTGCAAGGCCTTCACCCCTTGCTTATCTTCTGGTGCAAACAGAGCCCACCCCTTAGGGCAGGGAGCAGGTCCTGCCCCCAGGGAGTCTAGGTGCATAGAAAGGGCCAGAACAGCACTGGGGATTAAGCAGAAACTCTCAGGAGGGGCGTGTGCAGAGAAGCACTTTTCAAAGCCCTTTCCTAGTCCTCAGACAGAGAGTACCTTGGTGTGCAACCTCTTGGCTAGGGGCTACAGGGAATTTGAACCCCCTCTACCACAAAGGGGGCTCCCTGTCTCAGTGGAAGCTGGTGGGGGGCAAACAGAGGCCTGCAGCCATCACTGCCGTCATTGGAAACCCGCCAACAACACAGTAAACCAGAGTCCACCTGCCTAGTAACTGACTCCCATAGAGTTGGATTGTTTCCTCTCATTTTTCTTTTCTAAAAAAATCAGTAAATGAATTTTAATACATTTGAGAGAAATTTCTATTTCTTGACCTCTCTGTGGCTTACGTATTTTCATCATCTAGCCATTGGGTCAGTGAGGAAATGTGTGTTGGGATAGTTTTGTTTGTTTGTTTGTTTTTGAGATAGGGTCTCATTATGTTGCCCTCGGTACCACGGCGTCACAGCTCATAGCAACTTCAAACTCCGGTGCTTAAGTGATGCTCTTGCCTCAGCCTCCCAAGTTGCTGGGACTCTGGGTGCCTGGCACAACATCCGGCTTTTTGTTTGTTGTTGTTGTTTTCATTGTTGTTCAGCAGGCCTGGGCCAAGTTTGAACCTGCCAGCCCTGATATATGTGGCTGGCGCCCTAACTACTGAGCACAGCTCCAAGCCATGGCAGAATAGTTTTCTCTCAGTGTGCGTTGATCTGAAGGGCAGTGGGCCACTTCAGCTGCTGCAGGGTCATGCATCCCTGATGAGGAGCATCCCATCCCCCCTCTACCTGGCAGAGGTTGGGGTCAGGCGAGGGCCACCTGCCCCTAAGTAAGGATTCGGACAGGGACCTGCCCAAGGCTCTTCTGTCATTCTGGCGGAGCAGCCTTCCAGCATTCAACTCCTGGTTCTGCTGTTTTCCAAGCAAATTATTTTACCGCTTTCTGCCTCAGTTTCCCTGTTACCTGGGAGTCACACTTCTACCTGGGTTTCTCTGAGCATTGAGTGAGCCCCCCGAAGCCTCTGAAACAGTACCTGACACATTGCCAGCAATGCAGCTATTGTTATGAATTACGGTGATTCCGTAAGACCTACTGTGGCGGGTGTCGGCTAGACCCTAGAATCCTGCCTTGGGTTCATGTCACTGGGACACAGCTGCCAGCTAACAGTGGCACTGAATTCTGCCATTAGAACATCTATCTAAAGCACATGAGATAGTAATATAGAAAGCTGCATTTTTTTGTTATTGCTATAAACTTGTATAATTCCACATCCACTGGTCACACCACCTCCTGATGGCAGTGGGAGTGTAGGTGGCATTGCAGAAACTGCAGTGCCCAGTAAACCAGCAGGAGCCACTTACTCAATGCTGAGTTCTTCCCCACTTTCATATCACGTATTTTTAGTTTAACATACTCCTTGTTGTTAATGATAGATCAAGCAGACAAAAATAATCACTGACAATAGAGAAGATTCAAATAACTCACACAAGACATTTAAAGAGCATCACAACCCAAGACTTCTTTTTTAATTCGATAGATTTAGGGGGCACAAGTGGAGTTTGTTACATGGGTATCTTGTAGAGTGGGGATGCTGAGTTTTATATGTTCACAGCATGAGTGTTGGTGTATTTTTACTTCCCCATCATTCTACCTGGACTGTAAACTGCAGGTGCCACATAAGTATCTCTGAGATTGATGAATAATCCTCTCAGTTCTGTTTCTTATTCTTTCTTACCCACGACTGTTTCTTGCTTCCATTCTGTGTGTCACCTCCTCTTTGATTATTCTGTCCCTTGTCCTTCCTGTCCAGCCTACCCAGACTCTCACACTCCCAGTCTTCCCAGTGTCTTCCCCTGGTCACCTCATCACTCCCGGATCCATGTACTGTGGCTTTCAAACCAGAGACTGACGTGACCCCATGTGGGCTGCCACCCTGGCTGTGCTCTCCTGGGTGGGGGATTTGGGGGAACAAGTAGGGCATCTGAAAGGCCTGACCTGGCAGGGGTTGGCTGAAGGGCTGGGGAAGGGTCCCCTAAGTAAAAACACTCCTGACCCTGAGGCAGTCTCCACTGTGGGAGGGGGACAGGTGATGTTCAGGGAGCCCCACCCCCACCCCATCATTATAGGCACAGGTGCTGCTCCTGGGGGGACAGGAAATGCGACACCTTCTCCCTGCCCTGGAGAAGCTCCCCCTGCTGGAGAGGATGTCGATGAGAGAGTGGGAAGCCTCGCTGGGCTAGAGAGAGGCCAGGAGACTGAGGTCCTTCCCGCCCAGTTTGCCCTTGACTTGTGTCACCGTGCTGGAGGCCGTGGTGTGCTTCTTCTCCGTCTGGTCCATCGTTGGCCTCTCAGGTTTCCACACCTACTTGATCAGCTCCAACCAGACAACGAATGAAGATGTAAGTTCCCGATGAAGCAGGGCCTATGCTGTCTGCTATTTGGCAGTGGGGGAGAAAAAGGATGAGGGTGTGTGGGGGCTCCTCCTGCCTGCCCGTTCAGAGGGGAGCCTTAGGCACACAGAGCTGCCGTGGAGGCATTTCCACAGGCCTCCCACAGGTTTTTCAGCCGGGAGTCTCTGCTGCTCTGCTGGTTTCCCTTCTTTCCTGAGCAGGTCTGTCAGTTCAATGCCAGGACTGGCCAAATAGGTTTTTTTTTTTTTTTTTTTTTTTTGCAATTTTTGGCCAGGGCTGGGATTGAACCTACCACCTCCGACATATGGGGCTGGTGCCTACTCCTTTGAGCCACAGGCACCACCCAGGCCAAATAGTTTTTGTGAGCAATGGTCATACTTCCCCTAATAAAGACCAAGGCAGGCTGACATCTCGGAGTGAGCATTTAACTCGACCTCTCATATTTAATGTCTCTGTTTAGTTTTTGGAGGAAATTGCCCAGCCCCAAATTCAACGTATTATCCAGGATTATATAATATATCACCTATATTCAATGCAGATGGAGAAGGGATATAAAAATAGGAAATATAATATTGGAAGCGATTTCTTTGCTCTTAACACTTAGATTTTGACATAAGTCTGTATCCATACATGAATTAAATGTCTCAGTATAGGTCAGTTACCTGAAACAAAAGCTTGAAGAAATAAGTGATAAGACGCATGTCATAGAGGATGTTAAAACAGTTATTTGTTTTTGGTGACATGAATAGCAGAATCAGCAAAACCCACAAATGCATAAATGTTTCCATGATCTATGTCTATATGACTTAATAAAAGGGAAAAAAGACAGGCTATTTTGGCAACACTACGAGGCTGCATTCTTACAGCCTGTAAACTGGCAATTAGGGAGCCACATTCACTTTTTTGAGCTCCCATTTGCTTAATGACTGTTTAGGGCCCTGAATGTGATATGAAAAAAATCTCCTCTGGCTTATTGAGATGGCCTTGTTGTACCTTGTGGTACAAATAAAAGATTATCCTCTCCAGAGAGTCTTACTCTTTTCCCTAATCAAACCCACTGATTTGGGATATTTCCAAGTTTGAAGTAAATGCCTATTTTCCTTGAGAAAAGTACCTCGGTTTCCTTTGGTGAATGAATGAGGAAGGATTGTTTGCATTCTTCACTGGCTTCTCGTGGTCCAGCTGGCCCACAGGACAGCATTGGTATCAACGATAGTGTACGTTATTGACTCATTTTTTTTCTTTCAGATTAAAGGATCTTGGTCAAATAAAAGAGGTAAAGAAAATTACAACCCCTACAGCTATGGAAATATCTTCACAAATTGCTGTGTCGCCCTGTGTGGGCCCATCTCCCCCAGGTAAGGGCCAGGAGGCAGCAGGGGCTTGGAGAAGCGAGTGCCTTAGCTGTGCTGGCACAGGCCCCACCAGGGAGCAGTTGGCCCCCACCCCCAGCTGACGGCTCTGTGCCATGTAGACGTGGCCTTCGTGAAACAGAAATCCGGCTCCATCTCACATCGTTTTAGTCTTCAACTGAATTTATGTCCAATCTGGGGGGAAATCTCCTAAACCTCAAAACAGGAAAACCCAAGCATGTGACGGGGTTAATCATTACATGATGGTGTGTGTCTGCAGCGAGCAGGGAGGGAGCCAGGACACCTGTGTAGAAAGGAAGCAATGAGAAAACCCATAGAAATAAGTGCTGACAGCCAATTTGTACAGAATATGCATGCTAACATCGTCCATAGAGAGCGATCCATGTGGACTCAAGGGGCTGAGGTCGCCGTAAGGATAACAATGATGACAGTATTAATAATGGTGATAGCTGACGTTCCTGAGCTCCTGCTGGGCCCTGCTGTAAGACCTTTATGTGTATTAACTATTTGAAATCTCACTATGTACCTATGAGGCAGGGACTGTCATAGCTCATTTTGTGGGTGGGAAAACCGAGGCATAGACTTTAAATAATGTGCCCAAGATCACTCAGCTAGGAAATGCCAACTAGTCGTGACTCAGGGCCAGGCCATCCGACATCAGTAGCAGTGGATGCTGCCGCCTCCAGGCGGATTGGACAAGTTCAGAGTACACTCAGCTTTGGATTAGTTATGAGTTACACCCACACAAAACATTTGCAACAGATTAATCAAACCATTATTGACAGATATTTATTGAGTATTTATTGAGCAACTATACAGGCAGATGTTGACTGAGCAACTAAAGGCTCCAGAAAGCGTTTCCATGCTCTTACTGATGTGTGCTCATGGAACGGGAACTCTGCTATCACAGTGAACCCTCGCTAGGGAAGGTAAAGTAATGGAGAAAAGAGAAAAGGTCCGAGCCTCTATTCCGCAGGTGTTTGTTAATTGGTGTTGGCTTCCTGAGTCACTGGTGGTGCTACTGCCTAACCAGAAATCCACAATTTCCAGCTTTGGCCCAGAAAGTTGGGAGCCCAGTATGCCACGACCATCCTGAAATGGGGACCTCTGGGGACCCGCTGCTCGGAGACTTCCCCTGTGGAGGGGTGGCAGGAAGGAGCAGACAAGGTCCCTGGCGTCAGGCCTGCCTGGGCAGGTGCCAGCGCCTCTTGAGGGGAGATCCAGGCTCACCCTGGAAGCCTTCTCCAGGCTCTTTAGGCCAGAAAATCTCTCATGATTTTTCACAAGTTGGGGTATTTCCTACTGGCATGTTTGTGGCCAGTGAGGCAGGCCAGGAAGCAGGCTGGGGGCAGAGGAGGGTGAAAGTGGAGGAACGCACTGCCCGTCTGCATCTAGGATGGAAGGTTAGGAGTCTCGCCCCCTGTCCAGATCTCTTTCCATGTCCCCGAGGCCTTGGTTTGCCCCAGCAGTGGCAGCACTGCTTTATATTGTTTGTAGACCAAACCTTGTCACCACCAAAATGGTTTCTTCCACAACTGGATGAAATGTGCTGTCTTGGTTGAGTCTGGACTGTATTTTTCCCCAAATTCAGGTTCCTGTGGGTAAGTCATTTCTCAGGAATGTCCGGCTCCTCAGAACTGCTTGAATCATTTGTTAAAAGGTAAACTAGGGGGAAAAGATAAACTGAGGCTCTTTAAAATATTAAAGGGTTTATTTACAATAATTCCGGCTCTGGCATCTGGCAGCCCCAGGCCTCAACCAGTGTGGGGTCCACCGAAGGGGCTCCAGGGTAACTTTTACAGGGTGAACACGGAGCCAGGCAAAGAAAGTCCCCCTACCCCGTGCCCCCGCCCCCTCCCGGCTATAGCCAAACAGGAGCCTGGTTGGAGCATTCCAGGGACAGCCCAGCAAGAGGGTGGCAGTGGTGTATGATTGGCTAAAACATCTGTGCTGAGGAACCCAGGGCAGTGAAAGCCACCTCAGCCCAGCAGCCCCTCAGTTAACTGTTTTACACGCTCCAGGGTTTGGGCCACAGGCCACCTCCCCTGCACTCTGCTCACAGACCCCCAGGCAGAAGAGAGGGCGATGCTTGCCTGCTCCTCCTTCCACCTCCCTATCCCTGCCTGTGCCCCTAAGGGCCAGGACCGTCCCAAGCGGCCCAACCATGCCCACCTGAGGGCATGCTGCCCACTTCCCACACAGTGCCAGGATGGGCAAAGGAGAGGGCTCCATTGGGAGCCTACGTACTAAGAGTGCAGAGACACCCCCCACTCAGTCCCCTGGGGCATCACCAGAGGCGTGGGTGGCAGTGGCTAGGGCTGGCTAGGTTTGGGGGTGGGGGTCCTCATACAAGCCTGTCAGGAGGAATGGAAGATTGTAAAAAGAAGGCAAGGAATGGTCAGCGTCGGGTCCTATGCAGGTCACATGGCCACTACTTACTGAGTGTGTCTGTGGGGCAGGCCTTGTGCAGGGGCTGGGGACGCGGGGGGCTGTCTCACAGGTGGCACAGGCTGCCCCGGGCAAGTGGTGCACAGTGAGGTGCGTGGCACCCAGGAGGGGCTCAGTGGTGATCTCTTCTGAAGGATGAGTAGGAACTGGGGAGGGGAAGTGAGAGCAGCAGAGTTTTCACAGACTGAGGGACCAGTGACCACAGGGCGCAGCAGTGAAGGGCAGGGAGGACCCGGGGAGACCGGGGCAGAGCTGTGTTGGGCCCAATCCAAGGTGTCCCAGTCCTGGGGTATGGCTGCTATGCCGTGCAGGCTGGATGCAAAAGGCTGCCTGCTTCTGGGTGAAAGGCCCTATAAATACGTTAGATTCTCTTGTCATGTAACAAAAAGGACTCAGGGCATTTTCTTTCCCTCCAAAATAGCACTGTTTCATTGCATCAGAAACTGCCAAGTTCACTGAAAAGTAATGCCTCCCACCTGCCAGCCCACCCCAGGAGGGAAGCCTGTAGGGTGTCAGCTCCCCAGGTCTCAGCCACCGACAGGGAGGGAAAGTCAGGGCAGGGGTCAGGTGCTGCTGGCCCCACATAATGCCCCCCAACCTGGTGGGGCACTGCGGCTGGCGTGTGCTCTCCAGTTTCCTCTGAGAACCTCCCATTGCAGCTCCCCCAGTGGCCACTCACCTGCCACCCCAGCCCAGGGCCTGTAGCTGTCCACTGCCTGGGCCTCTGTGGACCCCGTCAGGGGAAGGCTCAGTCCTGCGGGAGTGTTCCAGGGCACTGTGCAAAGTGGAATGCGACCCCCAGAGTTATGCTCTTGCAACTCCGGAAGTTATGCTCTTCCACAGGAGGTTGGAAGTCTGAAATGGAGGGGTGGGCGGGGCGGGGCTCCCTCCGAGACACTGGGGAGCATCCTTCCTGCTCTCTCCTGGCCCCACGGTCCTCAGACGCCCGTTGGCTGGTAGCTGCGTCCCTGCAGTGTCTGCCTGTGTCGTCACGTGCACTCTCCCTGCGTGTTTCTGCACCTTTGTGGGGCATTCTCCTCCCTGCATCTTTTTTTGTCTCTTATAAGGACACCAATCACCTGGGATGAGGGCCTGCCCACTCAACTGTGAACTCATCTCACCCTGGTTACATCTGCAAAGACCCCGTCTCCCATAAGGTCACACTCACAGTTGCTGGGGAGGACTCCAACATGCATTTTGCAGTTTAACCATTACATTCTCTCAAGCCTGCTCCATGCTGGCCCTTCCCTGGGGGGCCCACATCTGGACCCTCACCCAGTCCCTGAGTCCCACTCCCCTCCTCAGTTCTCAGCCTTCTTGGCTCTTGTCCCCTCCACCTACCTTTTGGACTCTTGAAGTGGGTGGCAAAGCTGCCTTGAGAAACCCCTGACGTCCTGCGCAGGGACCCAGCCCTTCTTGTTGCCAATTGTGCTTTCTAAGCCTTTGGGGACTCGCTGGAACTGAGGTGGGGAGTCCCATTTTAGGATCCATCACAGTGATTTTTATGGTCTATTACTCTGTCACTCAGAGACCTGCAGGTGTAGCTGAACTGACACGTAGGAGGCTCTGCTCTTCCAGCAGCGTGCTGGCTGCCTGCAGTCCAGGTGGCCACCCTCACAGCGGGGAACGTGTTTATGCATCTTGTGGAAGCTGCTGAGGACACTAGAATGGGTCTGTGCTGTGCGTGTGGCCCCTCCAAAGCAGTGGGGGCCATCTGGGGTTCCCCATTTATTAGCTGAGTCTCCTGTTGCTCTTCACCTTGGTGCCCTTAGACTCAAGGTCAATGCCAGCCATGGGGAGAAAAAAGCACCTCTTCTGATTACGTGGCAAAGCATCATCCTGCCTTCTAGGGGGAGATAGCACCACAGAGCACAGAAACGGGCCTCTGGGAGCACTACTCAGAAACCCGTCGGTGGGAGACTGGGCATTTGTTTTTTTTTTTTTTTTTTTTTTTTTTTTTTTGAGACGGAGCCTCAAGCTATCCCCCTGGGTAGAGTGCCATGGCATCGCGCTCACAGCAACCTCCAACTCCTGGGCTCAAGCGAGTCTCCTGCCTCCGCCTCCCAAGCAGCTGGGACCACAGGCGCCCGCCACAACGCCCGGCTATTTTTTGGTTGCAGCCGTCATTGTTGTTTGGCGGGTCCGGGCTGGGGATTCGAACCCACCACCTCAGGTGTACGTGGCTGGCGCCTTAGCCGCTTGAGCCACAGGCGCCGAGCCGCATTTGTTTTTATTCATCCTATCAACCAGAGTTTGCTCAGCACCCATTGAGGGCCAGTCTAGAACCATAGTGACTGAGCTGCCTCTGCATCAGGTGTAGACAAGGGGCCTTGATCCCTGTCTCTGTAAGCCATGCAAGAACCAGATTCTGTGGGGGGAAACAGAAAGATGAAGGCCCTGCCCTGCTGAGCTGGGGGGCTGCTAGACAAAGTAGATGCTGGTGTAGACACACCGTGGCACCTAGGAGGGTGGGTGCAGGGCTGAGAGAATGCAGAGAGAGAGAAAGGGACAAGAGGTGGCCAGGCAAGAGCAGGGGCTGCGCTGCTTTTGAACCTAGCCTTTTAGAATGGACAGAGGAGCCAATAGCACAGCAACCTTGGGTAAGGAAAATAGCAGCTTGAACAAAAACACAGAGGTGGCAAAGCAGAGTGCGGCAAGGCGAGCTGTGCCGTGTAGACAGCACTCGGGACATGTTTGTAATGAAGAACGTAATAAAAGAGTGGATTGGAACCCTGGGGACAGACGGCAGCAGGTGGAGGTTGGCCAGCAAGGAGGCTCCCGCAGTTAGTGGGAGGAGGGAGATTCCGGGGTCCCCATTCACTCTCTGGTGTCCTGTCTCCTCTCTCACAGCCTCATTGACAGAAGAGGGTACATTCAGCCCGACACCCCGCAGCCGGCAGCACCCTCCAATGGCATCACCATGTACGGAGCCACCCAGTCACAGAGCGACATGGTAGGAGCCACTGGGAGCCCTCCCTCCCACTTGCCGTCAGGCCCAGCAGCCACCCAGAGTGGGACTACGGGCTGGAAGAGGAATAGGATGTTAAAGGGAAAGTGTCGGCCCCTGAGTCTGGCCTGCTTGCTCCCATTGGCCCAAACTCCTTGCGGCCCTCTGGTGCGGAGGCCCCTCATACAGGCGGGGCTCCCAGAGGGGAAGGCTGGGGCTCTCTTGCTGTTCCCCATTTCCTGTGCTGTCCCTTTGTCCACATCTGTGCTGTGCAGTGGGCGGTGTTGCCAGTTCTCCCTGCTTCCCGCCAGAATCTCAGATTAGACCAGGTGTCATTCATTCATTAACTGGCCCAGTGCCACTCCCAAGGCTGCAGTCACATTGAAGGGTGGGGCAGGCTTTGACCCCGGTTTGCTGGTGGGACACTTGGGGAAGGGGACAGGAGTCTCTCCATGGGCACCTGCAGTCACAGCATGGCCTGCCCTGACTGTCAGTGCCTTAAAACTCCCTGGGTGTCTAGAAGGCAATGAATTCTCTTCATTTATGAGAAACTTCCTTAACATAGTTTCATGCTCCTGCAGGGGACCCAATCTGTGACCCCCACGCCCCGTGCTGTCTATTCTTTGTATGGCTGAGTGACCCACAGCCCAGTTTCCCTGACAGATCAAAGATTCAACTGCAGGGCAGACTGGGGTGGGCAAAGCCTGGTACCCTGGTCTCTACGCGTGTGCAGAGTGGAGTCTGCAGTCCCAATGCTTTCCCAACAACTCAGCCTAAGGGGAGCATGTGCTCACAGTGGCTCATCCCAGCAGGAAGTTGCTGGGCTGTGTTGTTGGCGGCAGGCCGTCCTATGGGCACCACTTTGCTTTGCTTTGCTAATAAAATATCTTCTTTAAAAGCAAGTGAGTTTAAGCCACGGTCCCCACTGCCCCACTCCATAAGGCATCAGGGAACAGCTTGTTCTGTCCAGCCTTACTCAAGTGACCCTGAAGGGTCCCCCTCTATATTTTTCAGAGGAGAAAACTGAGGACAGAGAGAGGAAGAGTTGGGTTACATTTACTGAGGCCACCTGAGTGATCAGGGTCTCATGTGACCCTAAACCAACAGTGGGAAGTAGATGTGCCTGTTCCCCATTTTATTTAAGCTGGAGAGTCTGTCCATATCCCCAGGGACACACAGACACTACTTTATAGACCTGGTGACTCTCTAACCCTCACGTTCACTTTGCATACCTCAAGTGCACTGCCATGAAAGTCAGTGCTCATAGGCTGCCTTCACTGTGCCCAGGGAGCCCAGGTGCACAGCAGTCTGACCATGGCGCACGCTGTTCATTTCTCTGCTGCTGGCATGTGATTACACACCCTGTACACAACTGCCCATTCACTCACAGTAGGGGTGCTCCTACTGTGTGCTGAGGACTAGACTAGGTGGTAGGGACACAGGGTTAGAGTACAGCCCCCCCCCCAACTAGGGTCAACAGTCAGGACACTGTATAGGCAAATACACAAAGGAAGTGCTATGAGCCCTCATCCGAGCAGACCACTGAGCAGACCACTGATCAGCAGACCACTGATACTTTGACCATCAAAGTAGCAGACCTACTTTGATAAGTAGGACTTATGTTGGTCCTACCCTGTGACTCCCATATTACTGACCCACTGCATTCTACACGGTGCTTATGTCACCATGCTCTACACGGTGCTGATGTCACCAAGCTCTACACGGTGCTGTCACCAAGCTCTACACAGTGCTGATGCCACCATGCTCTACACGGTGCTGATGTCACCAAGCTCTACACAGTGCTGATGTCACCAAGCTCTACACGGTGCTGATGTCACCAAGCTCTACATGGTGCTAATGTCACCAAGCTGTATACTCAAGAAGACAAACAACATCTGTCTTAAAGGTGCGTCATCATGAAGCCACTTTAGGTCAAGATGGAATGGGACCTAATACATTCGTTCAGTGTACATTTAGCAAGCACCTACTATGTGCTGGATCATCGTGGAGGGTAGAAGTTGAAGGAGTCCATCTTACTCCATGCAGCTAATCCAGTTCATCTCTGGCATCCATCAGTCTACAGCTGTGCTGTGACTCTGGCCCAGGGCATGGAAGAAATGGCTGGGAGGTAAGTGCCTACTGCCATGGGAAGCCACCTCTTGCCTACCCAGCAACCCTTAAGGCAGGTTGTCTAGGAGGACCCTGGAGGTGAAGCAGCAGCCACCTGTCTCTACCTCCTCTGGCTCCATTCAAGGCACTGTGGGCCAGAGCACTGTCTCAGGCAGTTCGAGGACACTGAAGGCCCCGAGGCTCCCCACTGCCTGCTCCCCACTGTATCTGGATTTGAACATGGTACAGGCAGCCAGGGAAAGAGCTGCCTGAGATGTCCCCTGCCACCGAGCCTCCATCAGATCACCGTGCTTGGGAAGAACTCTGGATCCAGAGGCTGAGTCTCCTCCCTGCTGACTGTGGTGCCAAGTGTGAGCTGGGTCCTGACAGGACTGAGTCAGGTCCCGGGTCCCTAGGTCACCCTCTCAGGCTGACAGTGCCCTCAGGCTGCATGCCTTGTCTGCCGGGCACCCCTGGGCAAAGGGGCCACTGTGTCACCCCACAGCACTACCTCAACGTCCACACCACTCATGGAGGAGAGAGCCTCGTTCCTTCCTCTCCTCAGACACGTGCACTTCTCGACAGCTTCTAGGAGGAGACTCCAAAAGCACTGTCAGGTGTGGGCCCAGGAGCCACATGTATAGTGCCATCTCAATGTCATGGCCCTAAGGAAATCTGTGCCCCTGTGAGCCCAGACACACAGAGTTTTGCATGTAATTTCAGGATCAGGGTCTCCCCCTACAGCCATGGACCCCAAGGTAAAGAAGCCCTATCCAGTGAGGACTGTGGTCTACCTCCTCCCTATCAGAGCAAAACTTGAAGAAATCCAAAACTTCTGGGAGTCACAGGCGGGGAGTGATGCTTCAGATCCAAGAGTAACACAGGACGGCAGAATCGAGTCCCAGAATGTTCCCACCAGCGATAGCATTGTCCAAAGGTATCTCCTCCATGCGGTGGACACCGGCAGGCCTTAAGACCCCTTCTCCATCCCCTTCTTGAAGAGGAAAATTAGAGAGGGGTTAATTGTGCAGAGACCAGATTGCTGCCACTCACCAGATGAGCAACCTGACAAGTGGCTTAATCCTCTCTGCCTTCGTGTTTTTATCCATAAAATGGGAACGTTGATATTCTTATCTTGTAGGGTTTCTCTGAGGGTTAAGTGAGTTAATACATAAAGCACTTAAGACCTTGCCTAACACAAGATAAGTCCTACAGAAGTGTTAGCTATTCTTCATATTATTATCATTACCTCCCTGACATCCACGAACAGTGAGGTCAGCCAGATCATTGTCTCTTCTCTGAGTAACTGGACAACAGTGGACGTGACAGCGGTGAGAGACTGAGCCCAGGGTGGGAATCGGGAACAAGAGCTCCAGTTCTGGCCACCCCTAGTCAGCTCCCTGACGATTAGAAGGTCGCTCTGCCTCTCTGCTCCTCAGTTTTCCTCATCTGTGAAAAAGGCGCTGGGACTAATCTGTGTCTAAAGCCTTTTCCAGCTCTGAGCAGTCTGTGAGTCTCTGATCTCTGTAGCTCCACTCGTAGAGTAGGAAGGCAGAGCCAACCTCTCAGTCCCCACATGCAGGGATAGCTCCTCTCAGAAGCAGGTAAACACGTGACCCTTAACGTCTCCTCTCTTCCCACCGGCCCCAACCAACAGACCCAAGGCTGAGCAGCCAGCATAGGACGCAGGATTAGGGGGATATCGGGGGATATGCCCCAGTCTGGCCTTCATGCCGGACTTCCCCCATGCATTTTTCTTATTTGTCTCTTATTTCTTGCATTTGTGGGATAAATCTTACTTGGTCATGCTGTATAATCCTTTTTATATGTTGCTAGATTCAGTTTGCTAGCGGGTTTTTTGGACTTTTTCATCTATGTTTGTAAGAGATATTGTCTGTAATTTTCTTTTGAAGTCTTTGTCTTGTGCTGGGGTTGGGGGTGATGCTTGCTGGCTTCAGAGAATGAGTTAAAAAGATCTTCCTCTTCTGTGTTTTGAAGGGTTTGTGAAGAATTGGTATTATTTCTTCTTTAAAGATTTGAAAGAATTCACCAGGAAAGCCATCCAATCCTCAGCTTTCTTTGTGGATGGTTTTATTGATTACTCTTTATTTCTTATGGGTCTTTTCAGATTTTCTATTTCTTCTTGGGTCAGTTTCAGATGTATGTGTCTTTCTAGGAAGTTATCCATTTCATCTCAGTTATCTAATTTGATGCCATGATCTCATGTGTCTCATATCAATATTGTTTTATTGTAAAAAAAAAAAAATGAAAGGAAGAAAACTTAAAGACTGTAAAAGTTAACAAATAGAAAATGAGAATAATTTGTAAAAGTGGAGGGAAAGAGAAGAAGTAACCAAAGACTTCAGTGAGAATAACAAAGCACTTGGGGTAAGCCCTGAATGGGAGCCGTTGGTGTTTTGCATTTTTTTAACACTCTACTTGATGCAAGCAACTCTTCCAGCAAAAGAGCTGGAGCTTCTAGCAGAGAAAACTCCCAGCGTGAGTTACACATTCTGCACTGCTGCTTTGCTTTCTCTCCTTTTGAGTAAACTTAGGGCCAAGAGAAATATCCATACCAAGCGATTTCCAGGAATTGTCAAAATATAGAAAATGAGCTAAAGTATTTCAAGACTGACAATGAAACTAATTCTTTGGGGCATTGGAACATTCCTTTCCTTTAACTTGGTTAAGCTGCCTGTTATAGACATCCCAACCAAGACTATCATAAAATGACCCAGCACATCACGACCTGGCCAAGGGGGGCCCACAGCCCTGCAGGACTCCTGGTCTCTGACGCAGTGACAGACAGAAAGTGTCTAACCACCTGCTCCATCACTAGGAGCAATGGGTTTAGCTACTTGCCAAGCTGTCATCTTCCTTTTTACTTATTTATTTCA